CGAACCCCTTTAACAGCAACAGCATTAATATACGCTTTTGGAGCTGGAATTACCGCGGGTGCTGGCACCAGACTTGTCCTCCAATTGTTACTCGATTTTGGATGGGTTTAAATATCCCCCATTGAAAACGACAATGCAAAAGCACTGTCGGCTCTATTTCTTTTCGCTGCCTCATCTTTTTTTTTTGACATTGGGCAATTTGCGCGCCTGCTGCCCTCCGTAGAAGTGGTAGCTATTTCTCAGGCTCCCTCTCCGGAATCGAACCCTAATCCCCCGCTCCCGTCAACGCCATGGCAGTCCACTACACGGCCATCGCTGGCTGATAGGGCAGTTGTTCGTCAAAAGACGCCGGGTAAAAAACCCGGCTTTCGCACGGAATGAATTGAATCAACACTTCTGAGTGTTACTGCCGGTGAAGGCATTGGTTTTACTTTCATTCATTCGCTGGACGTCCCATGGCAGCAGGTGTTGCCCTGCCGCCGGAACAGAGAACATCCGGTTGGTTCATGTATTAGCTTGGCGTTTCGCCAAGTTATCCAATGTTGCGGAGACCGCAAGATTTTTGCGGCAGATTACGTCTGATGTAATGAGCCATGCGCAGATTCCTGCAATGCAGTGATTCTGAGGCATGCATGGCTAAGTCCTTGAAACAAGCATATGACTACTGGCAGAATCAACCAGATCTCAAGTTGGTCCGCGCGGCGTCCGTCGTGTGTGGTGTATTGTGTGTAATATGTAGTATAGTAAGTACGCATGAACGATACAACACACACCATATACACAACAAAAAACACACACACTATAAACACGCACACGTCTCACACACATTGATGATCCTTTGAATGTTGTTATGGTATATATATATATATATTTTATATATACATATATTTTTTTTTTGTGGAAGATATTCACGCACGCACGCACGCATGCCAAAATGACATGTGTGTTTTTGTGTGTGTTTGTGTCTTTCCCCCACAGATCCAACAAAGTTTGTCAGTTGGTTGTTGTTGACCTCTTTTTTGGATGAAATTCCTCGAAATGCGGCAACAATCAAGTACCGATTTCTACTCAACCAAGCATTTCAAGCTGCAAACAAAACGGCAGCACACACACAGAGTTCAGCACGCACGAAAGAGGACACACACACAAAATTCCTTTTGTTTGTGTCCTTTTTCCCTGGTATGCTATTCGCAAATGTGTTGTATACACACACACGCATTTGTACACACTTCACCACCAGTCTGAGGGGTGCTTTTGTGATGAGATTTCACTCAACAGAGAGCATCGCGTTGCGCGAACCCAGCAGCAGCAGCAACAAAAGCAGTGCGGCAGGGCAGCTGCGAAGCAGTCCTCCACTATTTACTACTTTTTATTCCTTTTTCCTCTGTTTCCACTCTGGCGCGGACAATAACACACTACACACATATAAGAGGAGTGTTTTATTGGCACATAGCCAGAGCAAAAAAAAGAGGAAAAAGAAAAAAATAATAAGAGGAGAATCGCACACTCGCCATCATATCGGTGTTTTTTTTTGTGTATATGTGTGTACGCGGGTGCATGCAACAAAATACCGTAAGAAAGCATCTGGCAGGTTCGTGGCGGCGACACACACGCAATCATTTTCTCTTTCTCCCCC